GTGCTCTCTGACCGGCATGTGTCACTCTGTCTCTGTGTGCTCTCTGACAGGTGTGTGTTTGTCTGTCTCTGTTGTCTGACAGGTGTGTGTGTGTATGTCTCTGTGTGTTCTCTGACAGGTGTGTGTCTGTCTGTCCCTGCGTGCTCTCTGACAGGTGTGTGTCTGTCTGTGCGTGCTCTCTGACCAGCATGTGTCACTCTGTCTCTGCGTGCTTTCTGACAGGTGTGTGTCACTCGGTGTGTGTCTCTCTGTCTCGGTGTGCTCTCCAGCACACACGTGTGTGTATGGCTGCATGCTGTCCAGTCATGGGGTGGGTCCAGGTGGTGTGTGTATGGGAGGGGGCCGGTGGGCTCACGACCTCCCCCTGCAGGCAGGTCCCTGTGCTGTGCCACCCTACAGTGGCTGCTGGCTGAGAATGCTGCCGTGGACCTTGTGAGGGCCCGATCGCTGTCATCTGTGCAAGGCGTGTCCCCTGGTGGAGCTGATGTCCACCTCACTGTGCAGGAGGCAAGCAGCAGAGCCACTCGAGGCTGTGTGGTGGGGGGAGGGGCGGGGGGTGTAGTCACAGCCACAGAAGAGTGCTCCCCAGCCTGGGACCAGAGGCAGCTGTAGTCTTCATGAGGGTGGCGTGCTCTGCAGGGTTACCCCATGTGGTCCACACTGTCCTACTTTCCCTCCTCGGCCCTGGCTGCACCTGTGGGACTGGGGACGCTGATAGGTACTTCGGGCACCACTCACTGCCGAGTGCTGGGAGCCGCAGTTCAGGATCCACCGCAGTGTCCCCCCAGGCCTGGGCTATGACCCGCATGCTGGGGTCTTAGTAGAGAAGGTGTCCACTTGCTGCCACCAAAATGGGACTGCCACGCCCAGCCCTCTGTCACATGCCCCTCCCTGTACACATCTCCCTTTGTGTGCTCCCATGTCAACTTCTAACTCAGAAGCCTAAAACCTTTCAGAATAGTGGGGCTGCCAGGACCACCCTCAAGGAGACATGAAGGCCAGGCCAAGTGCCGCTAGACTGGTGCTTCTCTGGCCCTGCAGACAGCTGGCAGGTGCACATCCTGTGATCTAGAAGGACGCACAGCTCAGGAGAACCAGTCAGAACGTTCTGGCTTTTGGCTTGTCCTTAAGAGCCTGCTGGATTTTTCCTCTAAGCTCAGCATGGCCCACACTCCTGAAACTGCCTCTGTGTGCTCACCCTGGTACGGCCTTGCATCCGAGGGGACCCGCGGTACTATGTGGGCATGGACAAGGGTCTTCGTACAGAGACTGGGGCTGTGGACACTTTACTCCTGGGATGGCAGGTGACTCTGTCTGGCCCTGGTTGTACTTCCCAGTGAGCAGTCGTCTTCTCTCCTGTGTGTGTTACAGGTGACTGTGACGGACCTGGACCCCGAAGGCCCCCTCCAGGCCATAGAGATCCAGGTGGAGAGTCCCTCACTGGCTGATGTGTGCCGGGCGCACCATGCCATCATCGGCCGGATCCAGGTGGGCCACATCAGCTGGGCTCCCTGCAGCTGGCCACATGCTCACGTTTGGGGGACCCTCCCCCAGCTCATTCTACTTCCATGTGTGCCCACGTGGAGCTGAGCGCTCTGCAGTGGTGCCCACACTTCCCAGGACTGGTGGGGCTGGGTCGATCTTGGTGCCTCCCTGGTTGTGTGAGGCAGGTCCTGAGACATGGGGCTCTGGCTCTGAGCCCAAAGCCTGCTCCTAGAGGACGGGACCCTACTCTGCAGGGCTGAGAGTGGGCTGCTCTGAACACTGCGCCCAACAGAGCCGGAGCTTTGAATACAAGCCTCCAGGGCTCCGTGTCATTTGGATCTGCAGAGTCCTCTTGTGGAGACAAACCAAGCAATCAAACGACACCCCCCTCAAGAGAGGCTGGCAGTCCTTAGTCATTGTTGTTAAGTGCCATCAGGTTGGTTCCGACTCACGGCCATTCTGTCTAGGATTTCTGTACAGGACGCTGGTGGGTTTGACCTTAACCGTTTACAGTCTAGTGAGTGCTGGTCCTACAGCACCACCTCCACACTCCCCATTAACCATTAGAAGAATGCAAACAAAGACAATGAGATGCCCTCACTCACCCCAATAACAGTAGTGCAGATCAGACAAACAGCGAATGCTCGCGAGGTTGGTGGGACATCGCAAGTCTTGTGTTAGCTACTGCTGGTAGGAATGTCCAGTGCTGCGACACTGTGGTCTGTAGGGATGGAGGTAGGTATTTCTGTGTACATATGTGTGTGCTCCATGTATACCGTGCATATATTAGGGGCCCAGTTAATGGAACCTTCTGAGATGTATCCATACACCTCACGGTGTGGAGATAATGATTGTTGTACATCATGCTGTGTGAGTGGTGGGTTTTACAAGCTGTGAGCGGCTATCTAAGATACTACCGCTGTCCTCTCGTCTGGACCAAAGAAAGTAGAAGACTCAGCTCAAGGAACCCGAGCCCACGGGAACTATAACCTCCCAGCACTCCTCCACCGTAAGAAGTAGAGGCCCGCCTTTCAGCAAGTAAACAGCCCCAGACGGTAAATAAATACCACAGGTGGGGAATGTGCTCCCTAGAATAGTCAGACCACAAGGGCACCAGGCTCAGAGATGAGACGACAGGAAGGGATAGGCAACAATTTGGTGAACTTGACTGGGAAACATACTTGGCTATGTAACTTTTACCTAAAACAATATTGAAAGCAAATGACGTTGTGCATTGGGCAAAGTTGCTACAAAAGAAAGACCCTCTTCAAAGTGTTCAGAGGCAAAGCTGTCCCTTCGAGGACTCCAGTGCATGTGACCAAGCCACGGTGTTGCAATCACATGTAAAAGCTGGACAGTGAATGAGGAAGACTGAAGAATTGATGACATTGAATCGGGATGTTGGTGAAGAATACTGACCCTCCCACGGACTGCCAGAAGAACAAACCATTTTTTTCTTGGACGGAGTAGAGCCAGAATGTTCCGTAGAAGCGACGATAGTGATGCATTATCAGGAGGGACCAGTCCCTGGAGAAGAACACACTTGGTAGAGGGTCAGCAAAAAAGAGGAAGCCCCTCAACAAGATGGACACAGTGGCCGCAGCAGTAGGCTTGAACATAGTACCCGTGTGAGGGGGGCACAGGGCGGGGCACTGTTTCATTTTGTTGTTTTGTGTTCATTTGGTCACTGTAAGTTGGAGCTGACTTGATGGCATCTAACATCAGTTTTAAATTGCTTTGGTGCCTTGCCTGCTCTGATGGGGACGTGGCCTCAGCCCTTTAGGCGGGTTCTGGGTAGATGTGGACCCCACCAGGTCCTGGGAGCTTGGATACCTATGGTCTGTGCCCCCACTGTTGGCAGCCAAGGAGGCGGATGAGCAGAAGCCAGGGCCTTGAGCACGCGTATGTGGCATGACATGGTCTCGAGTCATCTCCCACAAGGCCAGAACCTTGGCCCAGTGAGAGGGTGATGTCTTTGATGCAAGGAGCCTGCTGACACCAGGTATTCTCTGGACGGTGGGCATGTGACCAGTGTCCATGAGCTCAGGGCTCACAGCCTCACTGAGGGGGTGCAGCCCTTTCAGGGGCTCCAGGTTTGCAGATCCCCAGCCTGACCTAAAGCCCAGGGCTCTCTGAGCTCAGTGTGAGGTGGGGAGATGGGTTTGTTTGTTGGCCCTAAGCTGGATGTTGCTGGACCACCTGAGCCAGGGACCAGTGAGGCAGGAGCTTGAACCCCAAGAGTGTGAAATGGAGATGGAGGAAGCAGGGTGCAAAGGAGGGTCCAGAGCGTGGTCCCCCCTTGGTGAGGGGCATGGAGGCAGATGCCAGGAACCATTGACCTTCCTCATGTTCCCTGTGTACCCAGGCAATGATGGTGGAACAGACTGCCCAGGGCTCCAGCCTACCAAACATCCGCTTACAGCATCTGCGCCAGATCCACGCCAACCATGAGGTGAGCTCAGACCACCAGGGTCCTCCCTGCTGCCCGCTGGTCAGCACAGCCTGGCCCCCTCCAGACATAGTACGCAGGACAATCCGGGCCAGCACAGAGCCTGCCTGGCCCTCCCTTGAGAGATGGGAGCTGGGGCTACCCGAATGGCAGCAGGAAGGCCCCAGCAGGGCCAGGATTGGTGAGGAGGGATCATGGCTACACCCTGCTGGGCTGGTGGTTGGGGACATTCTGCTCCTGTTACTTGATGCACTGACTTACTCACTGTCTCTGGACTACTCCGGCCGCTCGGGGCGTGCTCTGCTCCTGGTCAGCTTGCCCTCCCAGCTCTCTGAGTAGGCCTCAAAGGGTCCCCCTCGCACCCTACCTACCAAGTCCCCAGCAGGATTTGCACATGGGGACATCCCCAGGGGTGGGTGTGGCCTGGTAGCCCACCCCTGACCTGCCACCCACCCCGACAGGCACTGTTGAGGGAGGTGCAGGCACTGCGGGACCGTCTGTCCACGGAAGACGAGGTCAACTCCTGCGCTGCCGCTGAGCGGCTCCTGCAGATCTACCAGCAGCTCCGAAGCCCCAGCCTCGTCCTACTGTGAGCATAGGAGGCCAGGTGTCCTGGGCTCTGGACTCTGCATCTGTCCACCCTCACTGTCCACGGAGCTCTGCCCACTGCCCTCAGTGTCCACGGGGCCCTGCCCACTGCCCTCCATGTCCACAGGACCCTGCCCCTGCCCTCTTGTGTCTGTGGGACCCTGCCTGCCCTCTGCGACCGTGGGACCATGCCCACTGCCCTCTGTGTCCGTGGGTCTCTGCCCACTGCCCTCAGCATCCACGGCTGCCCACCCAACAGCTCCTGCTTGAGGCTGTGGGCACAATGGGAGATTACTGGGTGAGCGGTGCCATCACCCTCCCTTCCTCCTGCAGCTAGCCACCTCTCCCAGAGTCTCCTCAGTGCTGCGTCCCCCCGACTCAGATTGGTGCTGACTCTCCCCCAAACCCCCATCCCCGGTGAAGTGACTCGGCCCCTCTCCTCTGTGTCTGCTTGTGGGGTCCCTGGGAGGTGCTCCTGTGACTGACACACACATGGGAGTCAGGGCTCCCACTAGGCTACAGCGCCCGTGACCAGGTGCCTCTGGGGCTGGTCCCCAGCACTGTGCCCCCGGCCCAGCCCTCCCTTCTTGTCTGGTGCTGGTGGTTTCTGCAGGGTCTCCCCTGGCCAGTCCCCCTGCTGTGAGAACCACCCTCCACATACAGTCTTCTTCTGAGCTTCTGCCTGTCTGATTCATCTGCCCGGCCCCCAAGTCTACCCCACTGCATTCCTGAGTAGCTGACCCCTGCATGGGTTCTTGGTGCCTGGGGTGTTCTGTAGAGAGCTCCTCCTGGGTACAACTGGCTGCCCACAGCCCATAGGCCATCACCGGCTGCAGCCTCAGCCAGCCACTTGGGCCCTTGAAGGTGCGGCTTTCAGTGCCCCCAAGACACAGGCTCCTGTCAGCTACTGGTGTGCCCACAGCCCTGCCCCAGAAAGAGGCTTGCACTTGGGCTTGGACGAGGGAGCTCTACCCATCTTTTTCACAAAGGAATGGGATGGGTGGAGGGGCAACTGCGCTCCTACATCCTCTGTGTGGACCACACTAGTGCTCCAGCTGACAACCAGGACCCCAGAGGTCCTGTACTTGAGGTCCCGTCAAGTTGGGGAGCTAGTTGGGAGGGGCACCGGGCGCCGCTGCCTAACCCTTTCCTCACGTCCCCTCCTGCCCCAGTTGCACCTGTGGCTGCGGCCACCAGGCGGCAGTGTGGTACTGCTCAGGGCGGGAAGGCACTGGGTACGTGGCGCGCTGACCCCGGGCCCTCTTGTGGAACAAGCCAGCGCCTGCCACCAAGAGACCGCCTTGTTTTGAGCCTGTGGGGATGCCAGGATCGTCCGTGGGTCTCCAGGGCATCCTGTAGGCTGTGGGGAGCCAGGTCCCAGGCGGCTGGCCTCCTACACCCGACTGAGTGCACCCGCCGCCCTCCCAGAATCTGCTCCGCCGGTTGACACACACACACCCTTTTCCGAAGACGTTCCCGTTCTTAGGGCGACCACACCAGTGGTGAAGGGGTTATCCACCCAGCACTTCCGGGTCTCGCTAAGACCCTGTTCCTGGGGGAGGGGCACGCTGACCCCGAGGACCTCTAACCGGCTTGCCAGGGGAGCTGCTCCGCGGTCTCGGCTAGGAGAGCCCGGGGCAGTGGCTGCTCCGGACGGGGCTGGTCCCAGGTCCTCCCCGCGCACCAGCCATGGAACCCACGAGAGCTGCCACACAGACAGGGTTTAATGGGCGGTGGGCCACCCGCGGCCTCAGTACTCCCAGAGTGCCACCCCGGCCGGGGCGTCGGCATCGGCGCGCAGCAGGCCCGAGGCGCCGCCGCGCAGGTACTTGCCGCTCCGGGCGCGGATGGCCAGACGGCCACGCTCGCGGAACTCGAAGAGGAAGTCCTCGGCGCGCTCGCCGTCGCTGCACACGGTGCCGTGGCTGCCGGTGTTCCAGAAGCCGCCGCCGCGACCTGCGGGTGAGCCGGGCGTTGGCGAGGACCGCACGAGCCTGTCCCCAGCGCCGGCCCCCCCACCCCACCCCCGCGCCGAGTACCTGGGGCAAGTATCTCTCTCTGCCCCCCCGGATCCCATGCTGCCCGCCCGCACCTCGGATCTGGTAGGCACCGTCGCTGAAGCTCAGATGGAAGACGTCGTAGACGGAACGGTTGGTGTCCAGCTGGTTGGAGCCCCGGCGGTGGCAGACAAAGCCGTCCAGACCTCGCAGCACCAGGATGGGCCGGTTGATGAGTTTGAGGGTGAACTCCTCATCGTTGCCTGGAGGGACAGGGTTGCTAGGGCCACTGTGGCAGATGGGGTGAGGACACTGCCCCTGAGCCGTGGTCCCTAACGTGTGGGGAGACAGACACTGCTGAGGTCTAGTTGTCACACGATGGCCTGCCTGGCCTGGCAAGTGGAGCTGTTGTCTCACACAGCACTGAGGTCTCCCCGAAGCCCCCCAGCAGACAGGGAACGCTTCTCACCCACGAAGTCGCTGATGGCTGTCAGCTGGCCGTTCTTCTTCATGCACACATAGCGCCCATTGCTAGCCTTGAGCGCCACCCGCCGGCCGCGCCACTCCATCTCAAACATGGTGTTGACGGAACTGGAGGGAGCCGGGCAAGATAGACTCAGGCGGGCAGGAGACCGGGGTTGCAGGGCCTGGCCCCTGACCCCACACCTCCCCAAGGGCCCAGCACCACCACCACCACCACACCCCAGGAGGAAGGATCGACATACCCCCATTACCAGGTATTGCCGGCCACCCAGGGGGCATTCTTCCCTGGCTGGACTGCTGGTGATCCTTGTAGACTCAAACCCGAGCTGAGGGTCTGCCCTTCATTTCCCCACAACAAGCTGTCCCTTCCACTTCCACCCCAGTAAGAGTAAAGGTGGAGAGGACAGAGGTGAAGGTGGAGGAATTGTGCTGGAGGTGGCTGGTGAACCGATGGTGGAGGAGGAGAGAAGGATGTGGCTGAGGTGATGATAGAGACCAAGGTGGTGAAGGAAATGACAGATGGAGCTAATGATGGAAGCTGAGCTAGTTGAAGGGGGTGGTGATGCTGGAGGTGGGTGGCAGAGATGGAGGTAGTAGAAGAGGTGATGGAGCACTCACACTTGTGTGGCTGTGGCCTGGATGCCCCCATGGGTGACCAGGGTCCAGTAGCCCCCAGTGCTGGAATAGAAGGTACACTTCTTTGTCTCTCCGTCAATTTGCATCAGGAAGGTCTCATGGTCCAATTCTTCATCCTGATTGGCTGAGACATTGACCCCTGGAGGGAGGAGACCGGGAAGCCCCTCACTCCTCTCCCTGGGGGGTGGGGAGGCATGGTTAAGCACCCCTGAGGACAGATGGGTCCTATTTGGAACACTCTAGACTTGCGAAGATTTGGAAGACGCTCTCAGTGTGTGGGGATGTAGGCTGTACTAATCTGTAGATAAATGGCATCCTCCTGCCTTCTGGACCTGAGATTTAGATCTTGCCTTTTATACCCTGGACTCCTGGTAGAGGGGGGGTGAGGGGGTTGTGGGGGGAGCTTGTAGGGTCGGCACTGAACTGCAAAATACAAGGTCAGCAGTTCAAACCCACCAGCTGCTCCTTGGAAACCCTATACAGGGTCGCTATGGGTTGGACCTTAACTCATTGGCACTTAACAACAAGCAACTGTTTATACCCTAACCTTCTCTGGATGGGCACAGTGCAGTCTCTGTCGTTTCCAAGCTGTGGCCCTGTCACCTCCAACCTCCCCACTTGTACATGTTGGGCCTCAGGTGCCCGGGGAAGGACCAGGCTGTCCAGGGCTCTGCCTGGAGTTGGGACAACAGTCACTGGGACCTCTCCAGCATCTTCTTAGAACCTCACTCCTGTTTCCATGGCAACCTGCTGTCTTGAATTAAGTAGTTGACTAAAGAGCTCCTCATGTGCCCAGGACTCTGGGGGTCCTGCTGAGAGCAGGCAGACCAGACAGAGTCCCATGAGGGACTGAGAGTCAAGGTGATTAGCCCTGCCCCAAGGTGAAGCAAGGACCCCCAGTGTAGAGGTGGGGGCCAGTTCGCAAAGGCTTCTGCCTCCATAGTCCCTCCCCGGATGGTGTCCCCTGCCCACCACACTGATCACCGCTTAGATGCAATGATGCAGCTTGTGTCCATTGAAAGGTCACTTGGTGTGTATCCTACCCAGCAGCTGCAAGTGCCCTGAATGTCCCCTGCCACACCCAGAGCTCCCCAGTGGACGTGGCGTCCCACTGTCCTCATGCCATCATCACCCAGGCAGACATTACCGGAGTCTCCCCAACATCACCGACACCCTTCTTTCTCCCTCGTCACCCAGCCACTGACCTCATTAGGGAGGATGGCCTTGGAATCCCTATTGGATTCCAAGGAGTCTGCAAACCTCAGTTTCTCCTGGATAGGGATTGGCTGAGTAGTGGGTGTGTGGCTCAGGTCTGGCCAATGGGAATGTATGGATTTTGGTTGGGATTTATGGGTAAATTTTTCTTAACTACTAAGAAGACAAAACCTAGTGCCCAAATTCTCTCTGCACTTTCTACCTGTGTGGATGTGAGGCCCGGAACAGCAGCAGCCTTCTTGTGATCAGGAGGATGCTAGCCTGTGAACACAGCTGACCTAGGAGAGTGACAACTCCGTGGGGAGGAAGCAGCGGGGGCCTGGCCAGTGCCACTCAGTTGGTGCTAGTGTCCTACCTGGGACCGGACCCCCATGGCCTCCAGGTTTCCCTTTGTATGAAACACCAGGGTCCTAGTATATGTGTCAGAGTCCTGATGTGGTACTGTAGGATAAGCACAGGACTACAACGTCATGTGACAACAACAACAGTAAATGAGTCAGTTGGCAGCCACTTTCCTGTGATTTGCAGCAGCAAACACCGCACCAGCCACACTCCTCTGGTTGATGAGACATCCAAAAATGTGATGGACAGAAAACAGGCCAATTGGGACTCAGCTCAGGGGCTGAGTCCAGGGGCTGCCACAGAGCCACTGCACAGACGTCAAGCAGGGACAGACGTGGGTCAGCACCCATGGCTCTAGCTGCCTTTCTCAGCACAGAAGCCCACATCCTGCTTCTTCCCATCACTGGTTGTCACGTGGAAGTCCAAAATACCTGGGGGCTGGGTCATATGTCCCAGCCTTATTGTAAGGTGGCGGGTGTCTGGTGTGCCCAGTTTCTGAAGTGGGGGCTCACCACCACCATCGGCCCCACCAGTACTACTACCATAAACACCACAACCACAGGCAACACCGCTGGCAGCAGCTCTGTACCGCTGCCACCAGGACAGCTACCTTCACCACCGTTGTCACCATCAGGACCAGTGCTGCCGCCACCATTGTCACACTGCCACCCCCACGATGTGGTAGAGGTGATGACAGTGTAGGTTGAGGAGGTGAGATGATGGAGCGCTGATCGTGGAGGTGATGTTGGTGAAGGTGCTTCCCCACCCCCATCCTCAGTCCACCATCCCCATTACCAACGCCATACCTCCACCTTCACCACCATCATCGCCAAGACTACCGCTGCCTCTACCACACCTTGACCACGGTCTCCTACACAATCCTGTGAGTTTGCCATCTCCTCGGACTCGCTCCTAGGGGCTGGCGGAGCCTTTCACTATTGCTTCTCTGTTTCATTAATAACCCCTTAAGGCTTAACGTGCACGGGGGCCTGGCTTAGGTAACTGGGCTGGGGCTAGACCTACGATGCACACGACCTGGTAGCAGGCTTGGGCAGCAAGGGCACCAGGTGTGTTGAAGGCCTGCGGGGGACCAGGCCCACTGCCCCTACAATTGAAGCCCAGCCTGTCCTCATAGGTGCTTGGGTCAGTCTTCCCAGGGGTGGAACTAGTGGGTGGTAGTGTGAGGCTGGGGCCGGAGGATGGGGTGTTCAGGGAGGCAGGGTACTGGAAGGTCAGGCAGGGGTTGGTGGGGGCCTGGTAGACAGATGGAGCTTCTCCTTGGCTGGCAGGGGGCAGGGTAGACTCCATGCACTAGACTCTCCCTCCCTGCCCCCTGGGGTCTACCTGGGCTAGGGGACCCTAGGGCCCTCCTCTACCTCCCACTTTATGAGGGTCCTGTGGGTCTGGTGGCCCACTCCATCCTTGATGGCTCCTTGCCTTGTCCCCACCCTTTCCCATTTATCTGAAAGTCCACAAAATGGGGCAACATGGCCAAGTAGGGCAGCTCAGTGTTGCAGTGGGGCCACCCTATGGTCTCTGTTCAGCCCGGCCTGCACTGCCCCATCGGGGACTCAGCAGCTGCCCCACAGGCCCAGTGCTAAAGGGAGACTTGCCCCAGCTGTCCAGAGAAGGTGCCAGACCACTTCCCTTGGGCCCTGAAGCCACCAGCCCTCAGAGCCCATTCCTGTGACCACAGCTGCTCCCCCACCATGGACACACATATATACACACACGTCCCCATCCACGTGGTCATGACCGGCACGCGTTCCTCCAACATGCCCACACGCACGCACATGTGCACACACACAATGCCACGGAGTGCGGGGAAGCCGGTCACCTTGCCGCACGGATACGTAGCGGCGGTTTGCAGCCACCATCACCACCTGTGGATGGCTCTCCTCCAGGTCAAAGAGCTCATCCTTGCTGGGCCGCAGATTACGGCCTGCCCTGAGGGTGCCGGCGGGCCCCACGGGTGCCAGGTAGCGGCCGTCGCAGTCCTTGAAGGCCAGCTTGCCAGCTTTGAACTCGAGTGTGTAGCACGCATGGGCCTCAGGCTCCCAAACAAGGCGGCCATCGCTGCGCAGATAGCGGCTGTCGCGGGCACGCAGGCAGTACCGGCGATTCTGGAAGGTGAGCGTGACTAGCGCGTCCACACCCCAGGGTGTGTTGCTGTCCGCTGCCATCTCGTCCTCCTGGGGGCACAGGTGCACATATCGCCGCCGGCTCACGCTCAGCAGGTGGGCCTGTGGGTGGATGGCCAGGTGCACGGTCCACAGCTCGGCAGGGGAGATGGCTGTGGCGAAGCAGGACAGCTGGTCCTCCGTGCCGCCAAAGAAGCGGCCATGTGGCTCCGACTGCAAGACCCAGCGCCCATCGGGCTGTGGCCGCACCAGGAAGCGGCAGTCAGGGCCTGGCTGCTCAGCCTCACAGGACACACGTCCATCCTCCTTGGCTGCCAGGTAGCGGCCCAGGTGGCTACTGCGGAACAGCACAGCTGAGCTGTGGCCGGGGTAGGGCTCCAGCACCCAGAGCTGCTTCCTCTTGAGACTCAGTGCCGCGGCGTTGACCTTGAAGCCAAAGTTTTCTGCTGTCAGGTAGCGGTCAGTGGCATTGACCAGGCCAAACTGGATCTTCAGCACCTGGTGGGGCCCGTTGGTCGGCATCTTCTCACCGAGTCTGGGATGGCCTGTGACACTCACCTGGACTCTCAGGGGCCCCTGGAGGCCAGGATCCACTTGGCTGGCCCGTGGCCCCCAGGCCCCACCAACATCATGGGCTCCCACTGACTCTGCCCTGGCCACAGCCGCTTGGCTCTTACATGGCCAGCGGGCAGCAGTGGGAGGGTGCGGAGGGCGGATCGGAGGGTGGCCGGCTTAGGAGCAGCAGCGGCCGCCTTTAATTACCCCCAGCTTGGGTTTCAGCCACTCCAACCACCCAGTGGCTGGAACCCCCACAGTGCTCAGACTGGCGGGCCTGGCTCTGGCTGCAGGTGCTGAACATCCCCCAGACGTCCCTGCGACCCCAGCCAGCACTTCGTGGCCCCCACAGCTCTCCACCTCTCAACTCGGGGCTCCTGACCCTTAGCAGCAGCTCCCCGTCTTCCCCAGTGCACGAGGAGCTGCCCGTGGAAAACTTACAGTGCCGTTGCAGTAACCTGATCGAGGCCGGACACCACGGCAGCCGCCCGCCCCGCCTGCTCCTTCCTCGGTGGATCCTGTTACGGCTCTTTGATCCTTGCTGTCAGAGCTGGGAAGGCCCCAAGCCAGGAGCTCAGCTGAGTGGCCCTGGGCTGGGAGAGCCCCAGGCGGGAGATGTCTAGGCAAGTGAGAGGCCAGGACGGGCACCTGCCTCATGGCTCTCAGATGCTGCATCCGGATGTTACAACACTTAGGCGCTGGATCAAAGCATCCTGGATGGTCTGGGCAGCCTGTGCAGTGGGGACAAGAGCATCCATTCATTCAGACTCAGGCAGGTGTGGGAGGGGGGTGATCGTGAAGCACATGGGGTGCAGACGTCTGCCCAAACCTTCAATTAGGGGTCTGCAGACCAGAGTGTGTGTCTCAGCAAGTGTCCAGTGGCTGTACACCCTACCTATGGATCGGAGTTACTTGCTGGGTCTCAGAGATCAGATAGAGCTCCCCATACCAGTGGCTGGTCTGTCTGTGGGGTCTTTGTGGGTGAGCCCCCGAGCTCCAAGAGGGACCCTTACTGAGTTTGTTCCTGGGCCTGCAGTGGTCCTGTGGCTCCGCCCTCACCTGCTTGCCGCCTGTCTTCAGCACCTGCCTGGAGGGCGTGGGGCCAGGAGAGGAAATCTGAACCACTCCTCCTGGGCTGGGGCCAGTTTGGTGTCTTCTTCCTCATCACGGAGTGACCTCCGGCTCCCCAGGACCAAGACCAGAACAGGGGGGTGTGGGGGGCATACCATCCTCCTGTGGGGGTCCAGGCAGGTCAGCATGGCTTCCTCCAAGGTGTAAGTGGAGGAGTCCTCATCCCCATGCCCACGGGGATCACAGCGTGGAGGGGGACGAGGGGCGAGTGCACACCATACCCTGGTGTGGCCCACTCACCCGACAACTAACTTGGTCCACCAACCCTATGGCTCACATGCATTTGTGGGGCACCAACGGTATCGTGGCTCCAACAGAGTCAGCTTGTCAGCGCCTCATCCTAGGAAGATGCAGCATGGCCCGGGCCCTCTGAGTCCATACTCAGGGAACCCGATGTGGGCAGAGTCTGTGCTTGGGACAACCAGCGACTGTCTGTGTATCTGTCTGCCCTCAGACTCCTTGTGCGTCCCCTCTGCTTTCCCATCCAGGGCCACCAGGAACCCCTCGGGGCACATACTCTTGCCCACAGGTGTGGGCCTAGCTCCTGGGCACCCCAGTCCCCAGTCCTGACTCAGGACAGACTCTTGGTGGTAGAGCCAGGACTGGCTCTGGTCCCTCAGTTCCAGGGGAGGCTGGGGACTGCCTGACACTGACCGGCCTTTCCTGGAGGGAGGGTACAGTCCCCCTCCCCACTCAACCCCTCTCAGACCCCTGGCTCTGGCCCAGCTGCCTTCTGGGTAGCAGTCCCTTGATGGATTCCCTACACACCAACCCCACCCCACTGCTATTGCACTGGTTCTGATTCATAGGACAGAGTGGAAACACCTCGCAGGGTTTTCTTGGCTGCTTTAAGGAAGCAGCCAACCTCATCTTTTCCTGGGAAGAGACTGGGTGGGTTCACCTCTGACCTTTCAGTTAGCAGCTCAGTGCTTCAGTGCTGCTCCACCAGGGATGTGATCAGGACCTGGGATGGTTGGAGGTGGGTTTCTGGTATTGCTGTGATGGGTTGGGCCTGTGGGAATTGATGTAACACTACCTGTGTGCTTGGGCATTTCTGTGTGTGCAGATGCATTGTGCATGTGCTCTGTGTGTGTGTGTGTACTGTGCATACATGCATGTGCATGCATGTCTGCATGCATGGGGCTGTCTTGTCTGCCTGCACACTGTGCATACATGTATCTGTGTGTGGCTTTTGTATGTGTGAATATTGTGTATACACATGTGCAGTGTGCGTGCATGTATATGTTGTGCGCATGCATGTCTGGTTCTGTCTTGTGTCTGCATGTGTGTGCAGTGTGCACATGTGTCTCTATGCATGCATGTCTGCATGTGTGAGTCTGTCTTGTGTATCTGTATTGTATGTGTACATGCATGCATGTGCAGTGTGCATATGTGTGTGTGCATGTACCCATGTGTATGTGAGTCTGTCTTGTGTGTGTGTTCGTGTTGTGTACATGCATGTATGTGTCTTGTGCATGCATGTCTGTATGCATGCACCTGAGTGTCTGTATAGTGTACACACATGCATGTGTCTGTGTGCTTGTCTGTATGTGTGAGTCTGTCTCGTGTGCATGTGCACACAGTGCATGCACATGTCTGTGTCTGTGTGTGCACGCACAGTGCATGCACATGTGGGTGTCTGTATGTCTGCATGTGCCCGTGTGTATGTGTCAGTCTGTCTTGTATGTGTGTGTGCATGTGCATGGAGGTGCATTGGTTGCCCTCTGGGCCACCCCGGACCTCCACCTCTCCCGCCAGCTCCAGCTCAGCGCAGCTATTAGGGTGCTGTGGCTCCACGGATTCACATTATTGCATAAATACATGAGGCCAATGTGGGGGGGGCGGCATGAGTGGCCCAGCCCTCTTACAAGGTTTCTAGGTAACAAGCAGCACCCCTGCTGAGACCCCACTCTGTCTGGGACTCTGCCTGCCTTGTGGCCGCACCCCAACCTGGATGTGGCTGCGGTCTGTATGGGTTTCCTTGGAGGGCCCCGTGTGTCCCCTGCCCATCTCTGAACTCAACCAGCCTTTCCTGGGGGTGAGAGTGTGCACCCAGCCTATCTACACCCTGGAGACCAGACTCACCCACGGTTGACTGGCCACCCTGAGCACATATATGTTTTTATTTGAGGAAGGGGCTCCTTTTCTTGAGTGACACTGAGCACCGTGTTTGGGAAAAGCACCCCGGGCCCCTTCTTCAGGGGACACAGCTGTATGGACTTGCCTTGATGCAGCTGGGTCCCGAAGGCAGGGACTGACCAAGCTAAGGCCCAAGCAGATGAGGCCAGAGCCCCAGCCTCCACCCCCTGTCCATTCATGAGCGTCCGGCAGAGAATAGGAGCAGAGCTCCTTGACCGTCCCCAGCCCCTGGTGTCTACCCTGCCCACTCACGTCCCCTCTCCTGGGCCTCTTAGGACACTTTTTCTCCCAGGACTTAGCTGAGGGTGCTGGGGGATAGGTGGGCCCTGCCCCTGGAGTTGCCCTGTCCCTCCCACCCAGATGGGCCCTCATGGGGCTTCAGGGAACAGAGAGGTACCCCGTCCAGACTGTTGGCCAAGGACACAGGAATTCCGCTTGAGCTTTGCGGGCCCACTGCCCACTGTCATGGCGACGGGTGTGCACGCCAGGCTCGGTGCCCAGGCAACGCAGATGCTGGTGGCGTGAGTTGGCACAGGCCCAATGTGTGGGAGGCTGAGGTAGGGCAGCCTGGGGACTGGGCCGGAGAACCCACTGCAGGGGAGTCACTTTACACTGAGTTTCGGGGGTGGGCAGAGGACAGCTCCCAACACCCACCACTTTGCAGAGCCCCAGCCCACCCAGTCCTGGTCACACTGCTCCTATCTGCCTTCATGTCCACATCCTGGCAGGGGCACTCTGGCCAGCCTGCCCTCCTCTGCCCAGACTCCCTTTGGGGTCTCCTCGGGGCTAATGCCAGGCTGCTACCCCAGGTCCTGACTTCCTGTCGCCCACTCAGCTCCCATCCCTGTTGTTCCTGAGCACAGGCCCAGGGCGCCTCATGATTATTTCATGGTGGAGCTCTGGGTTCCTCGCTTCTGCTTACAGGGGCGGCTGGCCGGCACGTCTCTTACTTCTGGCCTGGGTTGGTTTACCTGAGGCCGTTGCCCTGGGTTTAGGGTGACAGGCCCCCTCAGTGGGCAGGCAGCAGGAGGGGGCTTCACTCCTACCTGCTCCACGTGAATCTCCTGCGTGCCCCCTCCCCCACAGCAGGAGTCCTTCTCTTGGGGTTCTCAGTGTGGAAAGTCAATTTCATCTCTCTGCTTTGGTCTCTTCCAAAATCATAAAGTCAAGGGAAGGAAGAGAGGGGTAACTTGCCAGGACTGGGGAGGGTCAGCGGGGAGGGGTTGTCCAGAGGCCTCTGAACCCTTCCAGAAAATCCTGGGCCCCAGAAAGAACCCTGAGGGCATCAGTGAACCTGGTGCCTGAAACTACTGGACCATCCACCAACACCTCAGCATTGTGGGAAATCCCAGAACCCTCGGCACTTCAGACAACTTCAGTGGTTATTTCTGCCCATCTGGACTTACAGATGTGCCACAGCTGGCCCGGAAAACCAGGCGCCCACAGCCCTGCAGGCGACCAGAGCAACCTCTGGCCAGTCCCTTCCGTGTGCACCTCCACACAGACCTATGTATCTTAGCAGAGGCATAGCCCATTGCTCCAAACACCCCTAGGCCCCCAGTTGGCAGCTGCCAACTGTGCCCTAGAAGCCTTGCTGGGGCCTCAGGAGGAACTTAAGCCTGTCCCTGCTTTCTGGAACCATCAGAAATGGGTGACTTCCACTTCCTGGACAAGGTCACCCTCACTGTGTCCAACAG